GAAGCAGAAGTGAACTTTTGCGACAAAGACTGGTATCCATACTCGTCCCAAGTATCTGCAACATCAGCAAATACCACTACTGTATTCCACGGACCAGCAGCGCATATGTTTTTTAGCACGATACAGTCACGTTTAATTTAGCTGGAATGAATTACAATCTAGGGCATCATCTGATCGCTTCACGTCGACTTAAGTGAAAATGCACTCAAGCAGAGAAATGTATTTTCAGGCATCATCCCTGTACTTGAAATGAGGCAATCACTACGAATTCAGCAAGCCTCATCACTACGGATGAAAGCCCGGAGAAGACCAACAACAGTTCAAAGGAAGAAATAGGCCCGAAAAAAAGGGACAGATAGCACTTTTTTCCCACAAAAGCAGAAAAATGAACACAGAAACCAGCAATCTAACTGCCAGACAGTATATCTTTGTTCACATCGATTGTTTTAACAGTGCAAAAAAAAGCACTAGGGGAAAAGACAGCCAGTGAAAGTATCTAAATAGTTACAATGAACCAGCAAAAACCCTCCTGGATATAGCTGATTTTTTTGCAGAAATGATGAAAACTGTTAGGTAGCGCAAATATCTGTATGAAGTTATACCTAAAGGGAGGCACGCGCCAATTCTCCGACTCTGGGTTGATACTTGTGATCTCTACTAATAAGGAATGTTTTACTGTTATTGTTTTATTGTTAATAAAGTAAGTCGTCCTACACAGCCCTCTCCCTCATCAGCGTCCCGGTCACTACTGGCTCGTATGCCTACGCAATTCCGCTAGTCAGCTCAGGCAAAACTACACGTCGACGGAAGTGACGCAACAAAAACGGACAAACCTTTAGAACGATATTGCGCGTAGCTTGAAGAAATGTATATGCCACTGATGATGGTGCAACGACCAGCAGCCTCCAGTGCTTCTTGACAACATGATAAGCCAGCTCAATGTACGCCTCATTAAATTCATTCATCTTTTCGTCGATATTCTTAAACCATGTGGCTATATGTGTTACTATCTTCGTACTGGCAGTTACCATCACGAAAATCATTGCCTTGGCTAATACGCAGGCAGCAGAGGGATGTCTCAGGATGATGAAATCCAGAATATCGCAATAGGAATCTGCGAGTGTTTGGGTGCTCTCATCCTGAACAGCAGCTATTAGACCGGATCGCAGCACATCGCAAGTTTTTTCAACCAGAATTTCCGAAGATGAAAAATTTCGCAACAAATTCAATAAGAGTGGCAGGCACTGGCACAGTATGGTGTATACGACGTTCGTTTTAGGGCTTTTTTCGTCCGACTGACTGCTTTCAACGACTTCAATATCATCTTTGGAGGCTTCGCTCCTTGGCTTTTGCGTAGCAATGAGAGCTGAAAGAACGGCAAGCTCAAAGACACATTCTTCCTCAAGGCTCTGTGTCGACTGGGAACTTGTCGCCATCCGGCCCTCAACAATCATTTGCAGTGCTCTGAGACGCGGTATCAGAATCTGATCTAAACTTTTAAGCATATAATCGGTATCCTGCACTGCCAGTGATTGGCCCACACATCTCAGAGCATGAATGCGTAAATTTCGCGGATTCCCACTGTTCACGAAGTAGTTGTAACATTTTTGCATCACACGATCCAACACTGGCAGCGGTGAACTTCGATTCCCTGCATATGTTTCCAGGACTTTTAGCGCGTTGCTCGTGCAACCCGTAATATCCATGAACATGAGCGCTAGTCCCATACAGAGTGTTTCTTGGTCATCCGCTGTTTTCCCGATGCTAATGAGATGCTGCAGTGAATAAAGCAGATCCATCAAAGATTTTCCAAGTTGCTTTGCACCACTCTGTGAAGCAACGAATTTCCAGGATAAAAGCAGTGAGCAGTGCTCCAAAATCTGGCTTATTGCTGTTGCATCGTTCTCGGACATGTGATCGGCTATTCGTTCCAGCAAGTACAGAACTGATTCCATTCTTAAATCATAGTAATTAACTTGGGTTGTTCTAAAGCAAACCTTTCACCTTTGTTACTGCATAATAATTCGCTAGCATGTAACATTTACCATTTATACTATTTATTTAATTTCTTTCAATTTACATCCTTGTCATCTATATCCGTTTTACTCTTAATTGTACCCTTAATTATTTTGTTACCATAGCCGTCGTACTGACGAGGTCCAACTGTGGAATCGGTAAGAAATGTAGACGACTTAATGGTCCGAAACATTTCTTACCTGATTTAATACTTCTTTTTCACACCCTTCCTTTTCCATCATCCTTTTTTATATTTTTCAACAGCACTTACACATTTTTCTTTTAACCTCAAATATGGAAATCTTTTCAAATAAGACGAATATCGTTTCATGTAAAAGCAGTACTGCTTCTTATCACTACTCTGTATACTACAAATCCACAGATGAGAAATATAAAAAATCAAGTAAACATGCGCTTTGGAAACTGGAAATATGAACAGGCAGTTTGAATTAGGTCAGTAGAACCATTACCGAGTGATGT